CGGGGTTTGGGTTGGCATAACTGTTTCCGACCCTGTGGGCGAGATTAACGATACAATCAAGAAGATTTTTTGATGTTTTATTGAATTATTGTTGCATCAGACTCGACTATTTTTAATTTTAAAAAATAAGTGGTTTCAGATGATCAGACCACTTTTTTGTTGAGTTGGCCGCGACATTGTTATCATCAGTTAACCTAATGATGGAAATTATAAGACCACAAAAAATTGGCTGATGAAACTTGAGCCTGTATTCGTAATCGCAAAAAAAAACGAAAATTGTGTTGTGTTTCTGTTTTATAACGGTTTGTTTCAGTTTCACAATTTTTTCCCTGAAAAAACAATTTTTCGAGTGCCCGGAAATCCGGAGAGTCCCGGATTCGACGTTTGCTTATGTAGATCGTCCGGGGAATTCACCTGCATAAACTGTTTTTATCTGGAATCATTAGTTGTGAAGTTATTATTTTTTTATTTTAAAATTTGGAAAAATTCGAGTAACAATTGAAAACGCTGATCTTGGCGAAAATGTAACTCTGATCGACTCCGGGTCTACAACACTCAAATGAAAATTTTCAGCAGATTCCAAGCCTTTTTTCAGTTTTTTCGTGAGATTTAAAGTTTTCGAGAAAACGCAATTAAAATTTTGAAAAATCGAAATACCAAAATTGAAAAAAAAATAGAAAACTGCAAAATAGTACCAAATGACGTTTCGGGCATCTAGAGGCTTTAATGACTTGAAAACGTGCATAAAACATTGTTGGATAAAGTTTCAAAAAATCGAATTTTTTGAATTTTCGTAGGGTGAATTGCTTCAAAATTCGAGCAACTTTATCCAAATTTAATTTTTAGTTTCGCAACAGTAAATAACAATTATTTTTGGAAAAAAAAATTGGCCGCGCCAGGATTCGAACTTGCATATTTTGAATTCTCCTTCCAATTTTTTGTTAGTTAGTGGCGTGCCCAAAATAATTCAAATTCTCCCTTTTTTTCAAAATTTTCCGCGTGAAATGGCATTCATCAGTGGATTCCAAAAGTTTTTTTTTTTTTTTTTAAGAAAATTAAAAGAATCAAAATTGACCAAAATGAAAAACTACAAAATTGTACTAAATGACAATTTTCGCACTTCCAGAGGCTCAAAGGACTCGCAAAAGTCCATTAAACTTTGTGGGATTAAGTTTGAAAAAATCGAATTTTCGAAGGGTGAATTGCTCCAAAATTTGAGCAACTTTATCTAAATTTAATTTGAGCTTCGCAACAGGAAACAACAATTATTGTTGAAAAAAAAAATTGGCCGCCCCGGGATTCGAACTTGCGCATTTTGAAATTTTTTGTTGTTGTTGTTGGCTCTAGGGACTCGGAAAAATGCATAAAACATTGAAAAATTAAGTTTGAAAAAATTGAATTTCTTGATATTTTAAGGATGAATTGTTCCAAAATTCAGGAAACATTGTCCAAACCTAATTTTTTATTCTCTCAACAATAAATAACAATTATTTTTGAAAAAAAATGGCCGCGCCGAAATTCGAACTTCCGAATTTTGAATTCTCGTGGTTGTTATTGTTAGTGTACCCCAAATGATTTATTTTTTTTTTGCAAATGTTCCGTGTAGCGTGTTATTATAAGTAAATTTCAGAGATTTTTTGATTTTTCAAAAAAATTTGAGAAACCGGTTTCGACCAAAAAAATTTAATAAAATCGAATTTCTTTCGAAATTTCTTAAATTTTCGAAGGGTGAAGGAGCAACATTGTCCAAAATTGATATTTGATCTTCGCACCAGTGAATAAAAAAAATCAGAGACTGTTAGTTTATAGCTTATATTTCAGAAAATATATTGACTAACAATTAATTTTCTTTATCATAATCGATTCTACATTAATTATAGAATTTATTTTGTCAAAATAAAGACATTCACATTGTTCGTATTAAAATGACAAACTCAAAAAATGCAAGTTCGAATCCTAACGCAAACATTTTTTTTTCAATTTTTTAAAATAAAATCTACGTGAGAGTGATCTTTTATTTTTTGTTTGATTTCAACAAGTTCGAATAGTCAGCCAACTAGACTTTTTAGTGAACATGCGACTGACACTCATAGGCCAACATGAAAAAACGCAGGTTCGATTCCGGGATATCAATTCTTTTTTTTTTTATATTTTATCATAAATTTCTTTTTAAAATAGAAATGTATTACCCAAATTAACTCGTATTCATATTTTTTACGTTTCTGTCTGTATTTTTTCTTCAAATGAAACTCAAAAAGCGAATGTTGTAGTTTTCGAGAAAGATGCGCTTCAAATTTTAAAAAATCGACCAAACTTAGAAAGTCGAAAACTGCAAAATCGTAACAAATGACTTCTAGAGCCTCTAGAGCGATCCTTGCAGCAGTAAATAGCAATTATTTTTGCAAAAAAATTGGCCGCTTTGGGATTCGAACTCGCGCATTTTGAATTCTCGTCCCAATTTTTTCCGCCAGTGGCTTGAATTTTCCCTTTCTTGCGAATGTTCCGCTTGACGTGTCATTTAGTCTTCGTTCGGCCCATTGGACTCACGTCTTGGTTCTCCATCTTGTGCAACCATAATCCGGTTAGATGTTCGCAAGTGAAATGGATAGAACAATAGTCCAACTAAATGAACTGTTAAAGTGGTAAATCTAGCCTTACGTAAGAAAACGCGGTTTATTTGCGCGACGGCAGGAAACTTTTTCCTCTTCAAGGTTGACGTGCAAGAACTCAATATTCTTTGGCTAATAAATTGCATTAATAATACTTGCACTGGTATATGGGTTAATTTATGGCTCACACACACATTATTATGGGGAAAAAACAATTAGGAATTTAAAGTTTGACATTTGAGAAAGGTGCGACGCAGAGGCGGATCCAGGAATTAATTTTGTGGGGGGGCTATATAAAAAAAAATTTAATTGATGCTGGTAGGTATACAGTGAGCGGCAAAATTA